TTGCAATCAAAGTTAATCACCAATACAATGAATAAACAAAACATTACAATAAATAATACCAGACCAGATCTAATATACTCTTATACTAGTTGTACCCGTGGATTCACCCGCATAAAATCTCTTATTCTGATGTATATTATCACCATCATCATCATCGCAGCCCGGAAGACGTCCACTGCTGGACATAGGCCTCACCCAAAGATCTACACGACGATCGGTCCTGCGCTGCTCGCATCCAATGCCTTCATTATTGTAAAGTTTCATCAAAATCCGTTCAGTAGCTTTTGTGTGAAAGAGTAACAAACATCAATCTATTTATACTCATAAATTTTCGCGTTTATAATATTAGTAAGTTAAAAAAAAATGTACATATAATGCTGGTATAGCTCACTCTACCATGGGAAACAAATATCCCCAAACACCATGCACTAAAAACATCTTTACATATTAGGAATTTATCATAATAGTTTCCAGGGAAACATAAACACGTTGTCCTTACCAGTATCTATAAATAAAAGCACATTCTGTCTATCTATCTACATATATATTATGTGTATGAAGCTTATTATAGATACTGTATTTATTTTAATTAGTACATATAGACGTTGTCCTTACCAGTACCTATAATAAAGCACATTCTGTCTATCTATCTACATATATATTCTGTGTATGAAGCTTATTATAGATACTGTATTTAAATTAATCTAAATATATATAACTCAAAGGTGACTGACATAGTGATCTATTAACGCACAGCCCAAACCACTGGTCGGATCGGGCTGAAATTTAACATGCAGGTAGATGTTATAACGAAGGCGTCCGCTAAGAAAGGATTTTGATTAGATCTACCCCCAAGGGGATAAAATAGGGGATGAAAGTTTGTATGAAACTTTGTCAATTTTAAATGGATCGGGCTGAGACTTTGCAGGCATAAAGCTGCTATGACGTAGGCATCCCCTACGACAATTTTTTCTTAAATTGCACCCCTAAGGGGATAAGTTAACGCGAGCAAACCGCGGGCAAAAGCTAGTTAGTACATATACACGTTAGCCTTACTAATACTTATAAATAAAAGCATATTCTGTCTATCTATCTATGCATCCTGTTTATGAAGCTTATATCTGTACTAATAGTATAAAGCTGAACAGTTTGTTTGTTTGAATGCGCTAATCTCAGGGACTACTGGTTCGAATTGAATAATTATTTTTGGGTTGGATAGGCCATTTGATGAGGAAGGCTATATAACATTACGCTATGACTAATAGGAGCAGAGTTGCGATGAAAAATATTGCAAAAGGTGGAGAAATGAAACGCAGAAGAAGTTGCGTGGGTCAGTATAGGTTATAATAATTAGTACATTTACAAAAATAAGCCCGAAGAATTGCGACTTCGAAGTGGCAATGGGCAGGGCACATAGCTCGTAGGACAGATGGCCGTTGGGGCAGTAAAGTCCTCGAGTGGCGACCACGGACCGGAAGACGCAGCGTGGGAAAGCCTCCAGCAAGGTGGACCGACGATCTGGTCAAGATCGCTGGAAGGCATTGGATGCGAGCAGCGCAGGACCGATCGTCGTGGGATCTTTGGGGGAGGCCTATGTCCAGCAGTGGACGTCTTCCGGGCTGCGATGATGATGATGATGATGATTACAAAAATAAAAGCATATTCTGTCTATCTTTCTATGCATTCTCTTTATTAAGCTTCGTAGTACTCGTACTTATATATGTATATTATACATATAGCATTGGCCGTACCAGTACTTATAAATAACATAATTAATTAATCTATAACGTTGGCTTGAAGAGAGTACCGAGTTTGTTGATTTCTCTTTGTTTACGGTAACAGAAATAAATTCAGACTTGATAGTTTTTAAGGAATCTAAGTTAAAGGTTGTAATCATTTGACACTAGCGATAGCGTATTCGTCCGGCTGGTCAGATTCGTGTTATCAACATAAGTTGTCTGGCAGGCAAAGAGTGGGCAAATCGTCCATTACTTCATGAAACTTTGTACCAGATTGATAATGTGATGACTTACGCGTGATATTAGTCATTGTTATCAATCGGGATTAGTATAATACTATTGCGATTGATATAAAGATCTACGAGCCCCAAATCCGCTGTCGTTTGCGTTGATTTTATATACTAAAAACGAATTAATGTCAGGGGATCGATTTTTAATTTGTTAGTACAAATTAACCATTTCAGAGATTAGCCGGAACAAACAGACAGACAGACAAAAATTGTAAAATTGTTATTTAGGTGTATGTATCGCATTTATTCATATGCATGTAGTAAAAAACAGTTATTTAACAGACACTCAAATTTTATTTATTTTGAGTTTGAATTTGAATAAATATCAATTTAATAATGAAAATTTTCCTAACAATCACATCATCACAACGCGATTTGTCGAATCTAAGGATTAGATATTTAAAGAGATTGTCTGCCTCTGATAAAATGACGGAATCGAACTTGTTACGTTTTGACCCATTGATAACAATTTGTCTAGATAAATTCATAATTTATCTGTAGGTTATAATAGTGCCTACAAATTTTTATAAGTAACAAATAATGTAATACCTACTCAATTTATTATATACATACATACAATAAAATAATTTGATAAAGAAGTAAGTACAGTGGATGTGAGAAATTTGAATGTATTTTAATATATTATAAATAAATTTACAAAAGAGGGCCGTTCGCTCCATTTATGGTATGGATTCCAGGGAGTCTTTACGAGAGAGTTTTAAGGAATCAAATATCCTCACCGTTGCTTCTCAATACATTTATGAAAATATCATCTATGCCAGGAAGAATATAGACAGTTTCAAAAGAGTTAGTGATTGCACTAATAAAAGCTTATGTAACAATAACAAACTGATTTTACCTAAAAATCGTTTAACTAAAGTTAGTAATTCGTTTTATGGAAATTGCGTAAGGTTTTACAATAAAATACCAGAGTCTGTTATAAATCTGCCAGAAAAAAGATTTAAATGTCAAATAAAACAGTTCCTTTGCAAAAAAGCTTACTATAAAATTGAAGAATTCGTTAACGATAATAATGTTTTTATAGAAAAACTTTAAATCCATAGCGCTGACAATATTATCTGATTACAGTAATAATGAGTGCGTAGCGATTTCTATGTTGATTATCGCATGCCTCTTACTTGTTATACTGTAATTATTTATATAAAAAAAACATCTATTAAAAAGAGCAACACACAAGTTTCTTGCTCATTCTTCTTGTGATGAATCTGCATTCCGAATGAGTGGTAGAATCAAAATATGACTATTCAAAAGTGCTTGTAATGAGTTTATTTGAATAAAGATTATTTCTATTTAAATTAACAATTACACTTACGAAATATGGTCTAAGCATGATGATTTCTTATGTACGCTATTCTGCATATACGATGCATTAAAATATTTATAGGAAACTTAATAATTTCCAGAGGACTCCAAATCAGTCAACATTATAACATTTCGTCGATTCAATAGAAAAATGACATTTATCAAAATTAGAAGCTGCATTGCCTGCTTTCATATAAGTCAACTAGCTTTTGCCCGCGGCTTCGCTTGCGTTTGATTAACTCCACCCCTAAGGGGATATATTAATAATAGAATTAGTAATAGTAGAATTAATCAAAATCCTTTCTTAGCGGATGCCTACGTCATAACATCTACGTGCATGTCAAATTTCATCCCGATCCGTCCAGTGGTTTGGGCTGTGCGTTGATAGATTACAATGTCAGTCACCTTTGAGTTATATATATTTAGATTAAGTTAACCACGCCGCGCCGTCTTAATCATTATCTAAATACTTTTAAAATGATATATAATACTTCTGTGTAGATTTAAAGGAAAAAAATAATTTAAAAAAATTTAAAAACTTTAAATGCTCGTCTTGTAAAAATACATACTATATCTACAATACTAGCTGACTTAGGAAGTACTTACATCGCTATAAAAAAAGGGAATGATGGTAGAAACTGAATATCTAGCTGTGTATATTTATATATTAATGTGATAGTTTGTATTCACATATTTCGACTTGAAAAATGTGAACTTACAAGGATTATTTAAAAGAGCAACACACAAGTTTCTTATTAGTTCCTCTTGTGATGACACAATTTCCGAACGAGCGGTAGATTAAAATTTTTTATGACTATACAAAAGTGCTTAAATTAAGTTTATTTGAATAAAGGATTTTCTGTTCTATTCTAAATGCCACATCATAAACAAATCTACCTTTTTTTTAATACTCTAACACCGTTGGTCGCAGCTGGCCTTTACAGCTTCACCGGACGATATTGAAAAAAATATATTCAATTCGGAATTCCGTCGAGCCACAGATAATATAATATTACATAGTCGAGCTAAGAAGTACTGACAAGAAACTCAGTTATTTTTTATTAAAAATAGTGTACTTATTTATTGATACACAGCAATGATATATTTCATAATAATATTGGCAATTTGATATCTAAATGTAACAATAATATATGATAAAATCATAACAAACACAAATTGTTACGATAATTGTAACTATATAACAACATATTGTTAATATAAACAAAACAAATGTTATAATTTTTGGTATGGGTATCTTATCTTTCTTGTTATATATAAACAAGAGATTAGAAATGCAATGCATGCGTATATTGGCTCCCTTGAGTATTGTAAATAATCTCTCGATAGTTGACATGGGCGTGTAATGCGTAGGATTGAAGATAATATTTTAAGGAAGGTTTTACATATGAATGTGGATGGTTATAATGGCAGAGGAAGGAAAATGAGATGGATGGACTGTGTGAAAGATGATAAGATAAGAAAGGGAGTAAATAACGCGATGACTGCGAACAGGGATGAATGGAAGAGAAAAATATATTACGCTGACGTACGCGCTGTGTAAATGAACATAGTTATTATTATTATATATATATATATTTACATTATTTATTCTGCTTGTTACAGGAAGAATATAAGATTTAAAGTCACAATGGTGGTAGGTAAGGTACCTATGCAACACACCCAAACAAAGGGGCGGATGTCGATTATAAAAATCCAGAATTTAGCTGTATACAAGCGACGTAAGTCTCTAACCTGTTATTATTATATAATTTAGTTTTTAGTTTATACAATTATATATACATATACTATACTATACATAGTGTACTTGTAAATTATATAATTTTTATAAATACATACTACATGTTGACCAAATAAAGAAAAATAGTCAATAATCTAATCCAAATAACAGAGGAAAAGAATGTTCCGTTCTAGCTTCAAAAATGATGAAATATATTTAGTGGTAGAAATCCAAATTTTGTAAATTTTTATATTTATATGGTTGTCAGGAATTTAGCATATATATTATTTATATTACTTACTATATAATGGCTATATTATATGGGTATATTATTTATATTACTTACCATATAAATGGCATAAAGAGTATATACCCTTTATGTCAGGGGCGGATCTACCTAAGGGCTTTTTGTGCTGCAGCTCAGGGCCCCGAGGATATAAAGGCCCCTACTGAAACGATATTTAGAATATAAAAATATCTAAAATGTTTAAAACCCTATCATAAGGTTGGCAACCCTGAGATCAATCAACCCAAGCAAGTGCGCGTCTATCGAAAGGAACTGGGAATTTCTGGTCGCTTGTTTTTGGTCGGTGTATTTTTTTAGTTGAGTAAACTAAATTAGGTACGCCGTAGACCTCTAAGTAGATTTAGCCAGGGCCCAGGGTCTCACACATGCCAATTGTAGCGGAATTAAACAAAATAATACAAATCCATTAAGTAGTAATATGAACTTCCGCAAAATGACACCTAATTTCAAATAATATAATAACATTCATATTTTCAGAATCTATCTACAGAATCCTGTATGGGTTGCTGCTTATACTCATCGGAATTGTCATGATTGTGATAAACCCCATTGAAATTATCACAAACAGGGTAAGTTTTTTTTTATTTCTCTATATACTTACAGCCATAGTGACCTAAGTACCAGCTCTCTTTTAATAATACATAGAAATAAATATTTTTTTTTACTTGAAAAATTATTCGTGTTAAGACCCGGTTAATAATTTAAATAAAGTATATTAAACACGAAAGTTTAAAAGAAAATAATGACTATTCTTATATATAGAAAGTCTTAAACTGATTGAGATAATAACTGCGTACAAAGTCTGCATTCAATCATATTTGCTTCTAATTATTTCTATATTAATCTGAATAATTAATTAATAGTTATAATCAATCTAATTACATTTTTATCTGTGTCTAAGATTTTAAGCTGTATAAAGTTGTTTCCTTATAATAATTTCAGTCTAGTCGATATGATAATGCTATTAGTAATTAATAGTCTGTCGTGGAGTGGAAAGTGAATGTCAAATAATCTATACATATAAATAAAATTGGAGTGTCTGTTTGTACTATTGAAATAATCGGTTTTTACTACATGCATATGAATACAAATACGGTAGTTACATATACCAAAATAACGTTTTTTATAATTTTTGTTTGACTGTTTGTTCCGGCTAATCTCTGAAATGGCTGGATCGATTTTGACGAGACTTTTTTTGGCTGATGTATAAGGAGTAACTTAGGCTACTTTTGTTTTAGAAAAAATCTTTTATTTTAGAATAATAGAGTTAAATTCCACGCGGACGAAGTCACGGGTATTGCTAGTCACCATATATAATATAATCCTTTAATACTAAATTTTATGCGTCACAAATTCAGCAAACTGTATGACACTTTGTACACTTTCATATGCATTTAATAATAATAATCTCAGGACAATTCACACAGCGCCATCTAGACCCAAGTTAAGCTAGCTAAAGCTTGTGTAATGGGTACTAGACAACTGATACAAATACATAGATATTTTATTTTGTAAATACATACATATTATACATAGAAAACACCCAGACCGATACAAACAATCATACTCATGAATACAAATGTTTGTGCCGTGCGAGGAATCGAACCCGCGACCATCGGAGGTGAGGCGGTGTGCTAAACCATTAGACCACCGAAGCAGTCAATAAATGATTTTTGATCCTGGACTGATAAATCCCATTTCTAGCAATGTACCATGTCAGGTTGCCCTCCACGGGGTTTGCCTAAAACGATTGTGTTAAATTCCTGGTGGATTTGTCACGACAGCCCATAGCCAATATGATGATATTCATCTTATCATCTTCCACTGATGATCAGCCAGCATATGCTGTCAGTGCAGGCAGACGCACCATCCAATTATTATCTATTAAAAAAAACATATAAAAAATTATTGTTTGTATTGGTTTATGTACCAATACAAACAATCATACTATCGAATACTTATGTTTGTATCGTGAATTATAGTATGTTACAAAAAATATATAATCTTATAGTAACACGTGCGAGGTATCGAACCTGCGATCATTGTAAACTGTTACCTAAACCGTTACACCACCGAGGGCGTCAAATTAATTATTTTATTAACTAACATGTATGTATATTTATGAAGTAGGTATGTCTGTATTAGTATATAATATTATGTTATCTTTGGTATTAGAAATAGAAAATCGTTTATTCAAATAAACTTAATGTAAGCACTTTTGAACAGTCATAACAATTTGTTTTTTATCTACCACACGTTCGGAAAGCTGTCTCATAACAAGAAGAACGAGCAAGAAACTTGTGTGTTCCTCTTTATTAGCACATATAACATAATATGGTATTAGTGAATTGTATATAAAACTTGGTTTAATCAATGTCCCGTTCCATTAACCACTGACTATTTGTTTTATCTAATGATGTACTGATCTTCGACATTTAACACCATATTTAATGATGATGAGGAGAAATCATCTAATCTTGAGGAGTTGCCGCTGGCCATGATTCTTTATAATGAGCAACTGACCTGAGAGATAAACCACGATAGAATAGATATAATATGCTAAGTTTAGGACATAGCATTATATATGTACCTATATCTCGTAGCAAAGCGACCACAAATTAATAAAGAATATTTCATTGATAAATTGTAATAATCATTACATATGTAGTATAAAACAAAGTCACTGTCGTTGTCTGTCCATCCATCTATCTTTAAAACTACGCAACGGATTCTAAAGCGATTTTTTTTAATAGATAGAGTGATTCAAGAGGAAGGTTTATATATATAATACATGTACACCCGTGCGAAGCCGGGCGAGTAGCTAGTAAATGTATAAAATCAAATCATAATATCTTTATTCATGTAGGTACATTACAGACTCTTATGATATGTCAAAACCTACCGTCAATTCGGATTCGGGATAAGAATAACTGACAAGAAACTCAGCTCTTATTATTTTAAAATGTGCTTGAACATGTTTACAAATATACAAAGTAATTTTTAAATTCAAAATTAGATCATCTGGATGAATGGCGGTCTTCCACAGTGCGGTTTTCTAGAAACTTTTTGCCACACACAACCACATTGTGGAATCACCTTCCAGCAAATGGTATTTCCGAACCGATACGATATTGAAACCTTCAAGAAAAGAGCTTATTCCTTTTTAAAAGGCCGACAACGTACTTGCAATTCCCCTGGTGTTGCGGGTGCTCATGGTGCTCATGGGCGGCAGTAATCACTTACCATCAGGTGAGCCGCAAGCTCGTTTGTCCCCTGGGTTATAGAAAAAAAAGGCAGAATAGAGTGATAAAATTGCAATAGCATATGCTGGTATGTGCTATTCCAATTTTGTCAAAAGGAAATTGTCTAATTAGAGGCAGTAAATAGAGCAGGGCTCCCTAGAAGTATCAACCGTTCATAAGTATGACGGATGAGCCAGCCATCATTGCCATTGCTACTTCCCACTATCTTCTATCATCCTCTTTAAGTATTGATACGACACAACTCCAATTTTGTCTTTAATTTGCTTTATGTATCTGTGCCTTGGTCGTCCCCTCTGCACTTTTCCTTCCATCTTTCCCTCAATAATTATTTTCAAAAATTCATCATGCCGTATGGAGTGTCCCAACACTTTTCCTCTTCTACTTTCTATAGCATTCAATATCTGCCTTAGTGGGGAATGGGGTTTGTTAGTAATGTGGACTAATGATCGCATTGGTAGCAATGTACCATGTCAGGTCGACCTCCAAGCGGTTCCCCCTGGAAACCATCGTGATACATTCCCGGTGAATTTGGGCTAACTGATCTGACTTCATGTTCATCCTATCATCCTCCACTGGTGTCCCGCCAGCGTAAACCGTTAGCACAGGCGGGTGCACCATTCCATTATCATCCTTTAAAAAAAATCTGTGCAATACAGGAAGTATTGCAATAATTTTTTTTTAAATGAATGAAAATTATTTTTCATAAATGTAACATGCCCTATCAAGTATCCCAACGTTTTCCCTCGTTTATTTTCAATAGTATCAATTTATCTGTCTTTTTATTAAAACTAGCGGTTCCCGCGACTTCGTCCGCGTCGAATTTATTTTCCTACTTTGTTTTCTAAAATAAAAAAAAAATTAAAATGCAGATAGCCTAAGTTACTCCTTATTACATCAGCTACCTACCAAAAAAAGTCCCGTCAAATTAGGTCCAGTCATTTCAGAGGTCAGCCGGAACAAACAGACCGACAGACAGATAGACAAAAATTATAAAAACTGTTATTTTAGTATAAGTGCCGTATAGTATAGATATATTAGATTAAATAGCGTTAAAATAATTGTATATAATCATATATATGTATGTATACGTAGTATAAAATAAATTTGCTGTTCTGTTTGCCTATATCTTTTAAATTACGCAACGGATTTTAATGCAGTTTTGAGATATAGATAGAGTGAATCAAGAGGAAGGTTATATGTATAATACATGCGTGTTGTAGTACAGAACAAGCCAGGACGGGTTGCTAGTATATATATACATATAAATAAAATTGGAGTGTCTGTTTGTAATATTGATATAACCGTTTTTTACTGCATGCATATAAATATAAATACGGTATCTACACCAAAATAACATTTTTTACAATTATTGTCTGTCTGTTTGTTCCGGCTAATCTCTGAAGTGGCTGGACCGATTTTGACGGTACTTTTATTGGCAGGTAGCTAATGTAATAAGGAGTAACTTAAGCTACTTTTGTTTTAGAAAAATAAAGTAAAATTCCACGCGGACGAAGTCGTGTGTACAGCTGGTTATAAATAAATGAAGTGAGGTCAATAATCTTTGAGTGAATGTGTTTATTGACCTAATTAGCTCTTGGATTATCACTTTTGTTTACGATTAAGAAATATATATAGATACGTATATAATTACTAATATTTAAGTTCAATACAAGAATACTAATATTAATATATTACTCGTTTAAAAGTAACAAAAATATTTTATTCTGACTGACTCTATGGTTACACCACTTTAACATACCGCATCATCTCCGATGGTCACAGGTTCAATTCCACGCACGGTGCAAACATTTGTGTTCATGAATATGATTGTTTTTATAGGTCTGCGTGATTTCTATGTATATTATTTATTTAAAGTATCAATGTATTTCTAGCAGTTGTCTAGTACCCATAACAGAAGCTCTGCTTATCGTGGGACTAGATTACGCTGTGGTAATTATGCAGGGTTATTTATTTATTTACTCTCTGATGATGAAACACCGATAACGATCTCGGTAGTGTACCGGTTTAGCGCACTGCCTTCTTTCTTGTCTTTTATTTTTATTTTTTAATTAATTATTTATATTTTACTTCAAGCCAGTTTTATAAGGAGTAACTTAGGCTACTTAAATTTTAGACATATAATGTACTTTAATAATAAAAAGTTAAACACCACGTGGGCGAATACTAGTTTAAAAAAAATTAAAACAAAACAATAAGTACAAAATTAACAGAAACATAACAACATAAATAAACAATTAAGAAGAAAAAAAAGTATAAACGCCAAATTTAACCAAAATAACAAGAAC